CAATAACCAACTTGATATATCGCACTAGCATATCCCGTTTCAGCAGATTTTTTATAGTGAATAAATGCCTTATGATTATTCTTTTCAACACCAATGCCTTTTTCGTATCAATATCCAACATGAAACATTCCACCAGCATGCCCCATTTCCGCAGATTTTTGATAGTATATAAATGCATTACGTTCACTCTTCTCAACACCAATCCCATCTCGATAAAATCGCCCGAGATAAAATATACTAGGAACATGCTTCATCTCAGCAGCGATTTTATAATGGATAAACGCTTCGTGTTCATTTTTTTCGACTCCGATTCCATTTTCGTAATAATATCCCCCTCTGGATATTATAATAGCAAATGATCCCACAATAAAATTTAGATAATTATTATCTTTTTTTGTTTCAGAAGATATTTGATAATAAAAGGATGCTTTACGCTTATCTTTTTCAACACCCATCCCAATATCATAGTAATTCCCAAGATTAAAAAACCCATCAAAATGCCCATTTCAGAAGCTTTTTGATAATATTTGAATGCTTTTTGTTGATCTTGTTTAACCCATTTACCAAAACGATGACAAGTTCCAAGAATACAGTAAACTGTAGAATTTGTTTCATAATTTAAGCACCAATTAATTATGTCATTTGGATTCAGTTCCTTAAATATTAAAAAAAGTTCAATAATTTCGAGGATTAATTCGGTATTTTTGTTATTTAATCTTTTTTCGTTATACAAATCACACAATTCTTTAACAATTCCATCATAGAAATTACACCATTCTTTAATAATTTCATTGAATAAATCATCATCAAATTCAGATAAAAATGATTTGGCAAAATTCATTATTAACGATTTATTAGACGAAATTGAACGAACTTTATTACAGTATTTATATGTTTTATTATCTGATAATCTAACTGATAATGACCTTTTTTAACAAAAAAATTGTGAATTTGTAATAATATGTCGACTTAAACAATGAATAAAATTTATCATATTCAAAATGCAGTAGTACGTACGGTGCAGGAACCTAAAAAGCTTTAGAGATAATGCATAAGCTTCCTAAATTATCGGTTCTGATAACAAATAAAGCTTTTCATGCTATTGTGCAGAAAATCTATTGAAAAACAATACGCCAACAAAACAAATCATTTCCGTGAATACCGTAACTGATAAATAAATTGCGTACGTACACATTACATCAAAAATAAAAAGTAGCAATGATCTGAGATGACTAATATTTCAAGGTAGATATCAACATTATAAGAAGAGATAAGTATGTAGATAATCGATGGTTTTGTAAATTCATGCAAGGTACAGTAGTTGAAATTTGTACATTATAAGAAGAGATACGTATTAATACCAGCATAATCACATGAATGTGCAACATGAAATATAGTTCCGTCTTTTAGTATAAGTAAAGTTTTCATTTATCCGATTTAGTAGGTGTTAATATTATATCGGCACATTACAGTTTACATCACATGTCAAAATTACTTCATAATGCATCGTACATCGCGATATGAAAATATAAAAGTAAGAAATCATTATGTGGGAAAATTTCACTAATTGGGCTGGAGCGGAGGGAAACGGAGTGTAAGTCCTTTCTATGCTCTACTAATTTGGGTACAGGAGCGACCGTCAATGTTACACGACTGACTTTTCACCCGGTGTGCAACATATAAAAAAACTATTTTACAATACCAGATCATTCCGACAGTACATGTTATGATTATAATCCCACGCCATTTTTAATAATAAAAATGGTGTGGGATTATAATCATAACATGTACTATTAGAATGATCTGGTATTGTAAAATAGTTTTTTATATGTTGCATATCAGGTGAAAAATCAGTCATATGTTTGCTCCTGTACTTCAGATATACTCAGAGCCGTTAACGGTTTATTCCGAAGCCGGTTTTAGCTGCTTAAGCCATAGTTATCGTTATTGACTTGAGCCATGACTCAAACTGTGCTGATACAATACTGCAGTAGCTATAAATATTACGTAGCTACAGTAATAATGATTTTAAAGCAATATCGATATAGTATTTAAAGAAGCCATACAAGCATTAACATCTCTAAAAAATCCATGAAAAATAAGATACAACTTATATTTCGAATTACCAATTTATTTAACGTTAAAAATATGGTTTCATGGCTGTGGGAGTAAATCTGATCCTCCAAAACGTGGCATTTGGTTGGTTTACCACGATGACCAATCCATTTTTAAAATAGGTATTTTAGAAATTACGGAGGATCTGGATAGTTGGATGACCAAATTAAATGGTAAGTGGGTGTAAATATCTATTTTAAAAACATACTATACTAATCTCGTTATCAATACTGTGAAAATTTGTAGATCAAAAGAAAAAAAAAAAGAAATCACTACCATATACAATTTATATGTTCTGCTGTTATGACATTCAAAATGAAGAATAACACTCATTTTCCACTGCGGGAAATAAGCCAGCCCTCATGTAGCACCTCTTATCATATCATTTTTGTGATTAGATAAATTGAATAATGAGATCACATAAAATTTGAGCCAATAATATATATGATATAATGTGATTACTAAGATTAAAAGTGATTACTAAGATTAAAGGTGATTATTTACCAGTGATTGTAAAAATTACTTATAAATTGCTTATGAGTTACTTATCATTACTTATCAGTTGTTATATACTGTTCATGAGTAAGTAACCAAAAAACAATCTACATATAGGCGGAGTTTGTGGTGTTCGTGATTCGAATTTTAATAATCACAACATTACATTAAAAATTTTCGCCCATATGTTCCTGTCGTTGCGAAAAATAAATAGTGCTTATTCACTTTTAATTTGATTTTTTCATTGATTTAGTGGCGATGATTATAATACAATATCAAATTAAGCTGTTTATATTTATATTAGTTTGTAAGTACAGTATAGTCTAAAATATGACAAAAAAATTTTGCTGTTCCTTAAGTTATTCTATTTTGGTAAGATTATAAATTATCTGTCATTTCTCATTAAGTCACTTATTTAGGTTAAATTATAAAATAATTTATTAATCAAAGTATTCGAAAGCAATGTATGCACTTATTAGTTTTATTAGTTTATCGTCCGTGCTGATTTGGTTGATGATCAATCTTTTATTCAAGTCAATTCAGCCATTATTATTTATTAATCGAAATATTTGAAATAATCTATGTACCTATTATTAATTTCTTATTTATGATTCTTATAACTTGATTTTATATACAAAATATTGATTGTCGCGGCGGATGCTGCTTATTTTATTATGAAATTTTTAAATTTTTTGGGGCCTATTGTTAGGGTTTTTTAGGGATAGGGTTCAGGGTTAATGTTGTTAGTAAAAAAAGTATATGTGAATTTTAGTAGGTATTATAGATTTAAATGGTGACCTTAAATTTCAGCATTAGCCGCAACAATAAATATCCAGATGGTTAATTTTAACTGGATCAGATCATATCTCAAAGATTCAATTCTTTCAGGGACTGTTTCTACAAAATGCACAGATTAATGCATTTAATTCTTCTGATCTGAGTTCATATTATAAGACTCAAAGAAGCCAGGAAAGTGTTCTTGTAAGTGCATCTATTAATGCTTTTTTCTTACTCTTGCAAGATATACTTGCTAAGGCCTTTTCACCTTCCGATTCAAGTTTGTTAGAACATAAGTTAGCATGATGTTTTTTTTTAATGCCTTTCTACTTCAATTCAAAATATCAGTATTAAGTATGCACAATTCTGATTGGTTAGCTTAAATACTGTGCCTCATAAATTTTAAATTCTTCCCGGACTCAATGACCCGACCGGCTATGAGAACCAAAAATTAATTTTGGCTGGCCTTATAGTTGTTTTCAAAATAGTTGAAAATACAAAAAAAATTTAAACTAACATTTTATAAAACGCATCTATGGTGGTAGTTTTGCACCTATCATATGTTTTATTTACCATATGTTTTATTATGTTTTTTAGATTTTTCTAAGGTTTGAATATAAAAATCTTGCATTGATTAATTAGCCGATTTTTGAGTAAACCATAGGTGCGTTTTAGTAATAGTCAAAACTAATACTGCAATTTGATTAATTAATGCTATGTGTATTTTTTTTATAAAATTTTGAAAAATAGCGAGGATTATTTTAAAATTAGTCTGGCCTAAATTATAATAAAAACAAGCAATACTAACTAAAAATTACTAAACCTTTATCAAAAAAGTAAATTATTATTATACAGGTTACCCTCGTTTATGTTGATAGTAATATTAACAATTAATTAAAGTTGATATGTATGAAAAATTTTAATATATAAAAATTTGTAAAAATTCATCTTATTGCTAAGATTGATATTAATGAGGTTGATATTAACGAGGGTAGACTGTATAAATTATTAATAGATTATCAAATTCTGGGGTATATACTCTGTATACATTGTATATGAGTACTGCCAAGGGAAAAGGGTTACTTTAGACTTTATTAAAATTTTTTGATCAAAGATACGTAGCATATCACCATTAATGACTAAATAATAAGATGTCCATTATTATAAATTTAGTATGAAAATTATAAATAATATTTTTCTGTTTTTATATAGAATCTACAGATAGACAAATCATCATGTTTTTTTCATAAGTATTAATTCTCATTTTCTCGGACTGATCGAGCAAAATCACGTGCAATTATATAACGATAAGGATACGTGTTATTTCACCAACAATCACTTCACCGACGCTTAGTTCACCGACAATTAACTTACCGACAAGTCTTTTTTATAAATTAAACTAACCTTAACTCTAATTCTAACCTAACACTAACAATAATGACCAGAATTACTTTGTCTGAATTTGTCGGTAAGTTAATTGTCGGTGAACTAAGCTGTCGGTGAAGGGATTGTCGGTGAAATGCGCACCACCCTTATATAATAAGATTATTGTCTATTAACTAAAATATTGTATACACATTGAACTCTTGAATATCTAAAATTTTATCTTCGAAATGTCTCGCGCCGTTGTTTTATTTATAATTCTTGCCAGCCTTACGGCTTCTGTTATTGCAGAGGTTCATGTAATTAGTGTTGGACAAGATAACAAAAATCAATTTGTTCCCAATACCGTCAATGCTGCTAAAGGCGATGTGGTAAATATTAAAACATTAAACAAACAATTAATTAATCGTAATCATCATGGACTAAATAATAATATTATAGGTCGCATTTAATTTCGTTGGAGGACAACATGACGTTGTTCAAGCATCATCTTATGGCAATTGCAGCAAAATGGCAAATGGCTGTACGTATAGTAAATTTTTTTTAAAGAATCATTGATTATTATTTAATAATGTTTATATTTTTCTAGTCGAGTCTGGCTTAAATCCCAGTTCTAATTGGTATAATTATACTGTCGATAAGAGCAGTGGTAGAATTTGGTTCTTCTGCAATGTTTTTATACATTGTAAAAATTTTAACATGACTGGAGGAATTATTATTACATCCAATGCCCCTGCAGCACATTTGGTTTCTACTGGCTTTACTATCATGATATCGACTATAATTGCGACTTTTTTCATATTTAATTAATTGAAATTTTAATGAACAATTTAATTGATACTTTTAATTATAGTTTAATTATTATAGCTTAACTATTATTATATATATAATATATGTTTAATAAATTTATTGTTACAGCCTGCGGCAATTAGACAATTCACGTGTTTAATGGATTGTTTAATGGATTGTTTACGTATCAACATGTTAATATATCCTATTTAACCAATATCTCAAAAGCTATATAGTTATGTATTAATGCCGGATGTTCTAGGTAAAAAATGGTCGAACCTTATATTAATCTAAATTTTAATCTCTAATACTAACCCTTAACCTATAACAACACCTAACCCTAGCGAAACTATTAAAAAAATATATGTGGTGGAACACCAGTGGTGTGATTTAGTGTAGAATACGTATAAACTGTAAATTGAGATATTTCCTTTCTGCATTTAGAGAAGATCGTCAGCAAGAAATATATGCGTGAATCTTTAAAAAAAAAAAACGAAACAATATTATATATGCATCAAAAAAAAATAAAAAAAACTTTGGTTGTCTTTGTGGCGGTATCGGTATGGAGTGATCATTATAGTGCGGGTGACCAGATCATTGTCGTTATCGGTATGGTACAATAATGCGCAAAGTACCTACATATAGTTACGTCAACATTATGTAATTTACTAATTATCAATATCTTGGATGGTGTCATAGTGAACTGAATCCAGATTTAGCGGTTTATTTTTATACGTAAAATATTAATGCGGTAATTTAAAGCCCGATTTATCAAAAGAAACTAATCATAATTTGCTAAACATTTCGTCACTGATATCCATATATATTTATATAAATATGCTCTGTTTTTTTCTATTTTTTTGCTTTCGAAACGAAATAAATCAAAATAATGGCAATCTCACAGGACGACTCGCGTGTACTTTTCAAGCCGAAAAATAGTCGGGATGAATTTTTTGTGTATGCAGATCCTGATATGGTAAAAGAAAAAAAGGTTTCTTTTTTTCTTTTTTTTTATCATTAAATATGCGCTAATTCTATGGTTTTCCACATGTAGGTCCAGCAATGGCGCAAGGATAAAACAGTTCCTTTAGTTAATGTCGTTCAATGTAATGTTATAAATCATTCGTGCATATCTTGATTATTGATTATCGGCTTCATTAATTTATCGACTGTTATATAAATATGAATAATACTTTTTTTTTAGGTTTTGAAATTTTCGAAACTTATAATGGTGGTAAAGACGGTATCATTGGACATCCATCAAAACAAAAACTTGAAAATGCTTTTGGAACTTCCGATAATCAAGAAGTTATACAACAAATCATTCAAGAAGGCGTAGTTCATAATGCTCATAAAGGTCATGAGAGACCAACTTTAAAAGATCATAAAGGTAGTTATTTCTTAATGAATAATTTTTTTTTCATTGATGATCTTTAAATTATTTCTATTTTAAAACAGCTGTGATGAATGAATCGCGTGGAAGAGGTGCTACGACAAATTAGTTTCATAAAAGATATTCAATTGATAGTTTTTTTTTCTATAAACAAGCACCTTTATTACAAGCATCTTCTTTATTATGATTAAATAATTCAAGCAAATATTATTTTATAAATGTTTTCATTGTTTAATACTGTACTGTAAATTCAATTGAAAGGGCAAAAAATAAAATTTAAAGTTCAAATTGTTTCATTTCAATCATTTCAATCATTTCAATCATTTAGATGCATTATTACAGTTTTATATCAAAGTCCAATATGTTTCTTTTATAATTCATACATAGTCATAAAAAAAAAAAAAGACCCATCATTTGTAATTGTTAGTCAGTTTTGTGTACATATTATAATTTTTTTTTTTAAAAAAAAAAAAATGGTATGGCCTCAAGCACTTCCGTATAACCTTTTTTTTAACCGTGCCCAACGTAATCGGCATGCATCCTCTGAGCGTTGCATCATAATATTTTCAGATATTTGAACCCATGAAGGAGTCAACGAGTCTAGTACTGCATCAATAAGTAATTTATCTTCATCTGAAGTCCAAGGAGACATTTTTGTGGTAAGATTATTTGAGGTTAATTTGGGTTTAGGAACATGAAGTGAAAGATTTAGTGAAATATTTGAAGGTAAAAATGTTGGGGATGGTGGTGAAGGAGATGTACAAGATGAAATAGTTTCAGCTGTAGTGAATTCAGGTGAATTTACTTGACTATGAGAAGATTCTGAAATGGTTGCAAAAATTTTTTTCCTTATGTCTGAAAATTCCTTAACATTAATGTTAACGTTAATTATTTTATTTACCTACGTTAAAGGTAAAAAAATCACCATTCATAAATTAAAATGAAAAGATACCTGTTCTTCAATTTCTGGATCAACTAGAATTCCTTCTCCTTCATCATCTGTATCATAATCACCACAATCCTTCTCTAGTGCCTTTTTAACTATCTTACTTCCTTCTGACGGGATCATAATAAATTCATCATCTACTTTATGTACTTTATGATTCATGGACGTTTCACGTGATTTATAGTATGAAAAATAACCAAACGTTTTCGACGGTAGTTGCTCTTCATCAGATATTTCAGAATCAATAATCTCATGATCTTCCTCGAAATCTTTAGATTTGATTATTATCATAATTAAAAAAAAAAAATAAAGAATTTTATAATGATAATTAAAATTTATTTACCTGCCGTATTGCCAATTCTCGTTTGATCCGAATCAATGCTCGTCATACGTTGAATGGTACCATTTCCCTTTGGCATCCAGCCTTTTGTTTTTGGAATATAATTTGAACTATTTATTTCAGTGATTTCTTTGCTTCTAGTCATGGATATTTTATCATCGTAACAATCATTATCATCGAAATCCGTTTGACATTCATCGATGGATTTTACACGATTAAGAACACCATATCTTCTGTTCAATACAAGATATTGATCATTGTGATCAACAAATATAGGATGCGTATGTAAAAGTGTTGGCATAACAGATTTTTCGTCCATTGTTGCTGTAATATCCATTGATACCACTAAATTAGAAGACTCTATTTCTTCTGTTTTTATATTATGATTTGGAACAATATCTTCATTAACACCTTTAACTATAGTATTTAAAAGCGAATCTTTGAGACTCATCGCTTTTTCACGGACTGATTTTCACTCTTTGGATAAGCAACATCGACGATTATTCTAAGAGGTCTCACAATGAATTATTTCTAATTTTTAATACTAATATATATGATCTTTTTTATAAGAGTTATTTATAGAAATAACAAGTGTCTATATCAGACTATTTTCATTAAAACAAACTTTTAAAAGATACAATTTTTGTTTCGTAATTTTGAAGTAATATATCACACTTTATGACGTATTGTTGTAGTTTGATACATAAAAATTTTTGTTTAACGAATGATGAATAATAATAGCCTCTACCCGAAATCATTGATAAAAGTGTTAACCTTTCCAATCTCACTTAAACGTAATCCGAGTGGCTTAAATTGCTAATATAATTAACTTTAATCTACTAAATAATATATCACTTATCCACACAACTATATACAAAGTATTGAAATAAATTTCTTACACTATTTTGTCTAATTATATTGATTATATTTATATTTAATATATTTATATTTTGGTATATGACGATTTAATTATCACCATATGAGTAAATGTTTATCCACCCCCACTCATTTATTTATCTTGCCTAGAATGTGTTTTCCGGTGCCTTGTTACTTGATCAGGTCGTGAAAATTTTTTCTTGCACGTTACCACAGGACATTGAAATGGACGTTCGCCAGTGTGTACTCGCATCTAATTACAAAAATTAATATATCAAATTAATAATATAATAACAATAATAATAATATGCAGTCGCCTCCGCAATAAACCCATGGTAAAGTAAATCCTTCTATGTACTTATTAAGGAATCGATGAAGTTTACATATACATCAAGTAGAAATTAATGCGACCACGTATAGTCGCGGGTGAGGCCTATATATCAGGAGGCGACTGTAATATTAGGACTAAACTTTAAATTAAAGTTCATTACATGTTTTGTAAGGTTTGATGATTCAGCAAACCGTTTCACACATCCTTCATGTTTGCATTTAAATGGTTTTTCACCTATAATAAAAATAAAAAAAAGTTTTTTACTATTATAAATTATGATAATATACCTTTCTCAGAACCATAGAATGCACAAATTACATACCAGTATGAACTCGAAGGTGTATAGTTAGCGCTCCAGAAATAGAAAATTCACGACCACAATTTGGTTGTGGACATTTAAAGGGACGCTCACCTGTATGTGTTCTCATATGCTGAGTCATTATATTAGCTTCTGAGAACCTCTTTTTACAGATTGTACATTGGTAAGGCTTATCACCTAAATACATATATATATATAAAAGCAAACATGAGATTCAGAAAAACTTTGATTATATCACAAAATATCATCAATGTTTACCAGTATGTGTCTGTATATGTCGCATAACCTTTTGACGTTGCGTGAATGGGCGTCCATTCCGGTCACATCTCTCCCAATAACAGACGTACTGACTTCTACCGCATCCGATATGTCCTTCGCTAACATGTCCAGTTAATTCTTCATAGGTTTCAAATCTTAAATAACAACCTTGCCATTTGCACCCATGTTGAAAATCCTGCGCTGCCAAATGATCATGACATAAATGTTGAAGTAATTCATCGTCATTTTCTTGTTCTTTTGAACAAGATGCCCATCTACAAGAAATTCCATTAGAGCGTCGAGCTATATGCAGCTTTGAAAGATGTGGTATTAGTTCATCAATAGATCTAAATACGGCAGCACATGCTTCCCAAAGACATCTTGCACCATCAAAAATCATATCTTGTTTTCGTTTAGTGCCAGATGTAGATGTCAACATGATATTCGAGGATGTTGTAGAAGTAGATATGTTATCACTTTCAGAGATCAATCTCGACAGTAAATTATCATTTGTTTGAATTAACCTATTATTCATAGTATCTTCATTTATTGAATTCATAACTTTTCGTGGTGTCATATTTTGTGAAATTGGTAAAGAACTATGATTATTAACGGTCACAACATCTTTATTCGATATTTCTGAAATCTAAAAAATTAAAAAAAAAATTCTATTAAATATTCGTTTCAAAAAAATAAATAAATAAAGTTTTATCAATGGTACACACCACCCGATCACTCGTAACAGTGGTAGATTGAGAAGTTGGTATCCGAGAAAAACTTGGTATCTCTGAGATTTCATTATGATCTTCAGGTGAATATTTCTCATGCGTTATCTTATGCAGTTGCGGTGACGTTAACTGACGAGGATCAGAATTTTGCCCAATTGGAATCAGTGAAAAAGTATCATAACTTGTAGTTCTATAACAGCACTCGTATGATATAGTCTCGTTGGGAAAATTGAAAGAATTATGTTCAGAAAGATCTGGCTCATTAACAATATGATTAGACTCAGAGTCTCGAATGGTTATGGCTGCTTGTGCTGCTTCTGCTGCTGCAACTGGACAACATTCTGTGCAGCATTCCCCAGCGATAGCCGGTGCCATTTGTAAAACATTTGCGGACGTCGGAGAAGGTTTTATGGGCTTATCTTGGATTGAAGTATTTTGAGAACGAGTAATTTGGTTGTATGTAGAAACAAGAGTTTGCGAACTTGACGTATAGTCCAAATACGAATTTGTAAAGCTGTTCGAGAAATCGCCATTTATTCTAGCAAAATTGGACTGAGGTGGTGGTCTGAACATTGGTGTGTATGCTTCGATCAGGTCACTTTGGTTCTTGTTTATTGTTATTCCTTGAACACTATCTCCAGGATTTTCAGTTGATTTGTTTTGCTTTCCAACAATACAATTTATGTTGAATCTATAAAAGAAATAGGTTTAATAATAAAAATAATAGTAATATGTAAAAAATTTTTTTCCAGAAATACATAGCCGTTTCTGAATGATTGATCGTAGACCCATCAATGTCAAATAACTAAGCGTTACACAAAAAAAATTTTTATTGGTTTACTGTTTAGCGGCAGGTTACTCATTAATTTGTGTTCGCTTTAACTGCTTAAGTTCATTTATATATTATTATGTAGCGCATTACCGAAAAGCTGTAAAATACGTGCAGTACAATAGTCAATATGATCGAGTTATAGTTCCGAACTGGATGCAAAATTGTCACCGGAGTCATCTGTATAATTTGAAGTCGAGTGAAGTAATTTGAATAGCCAAAACAAGCTTGAATTACGATTGCTAGTTTTAAATTATTTTATACCGTCTTGCAGGTAAGAGTCTGATCCGAATATGTTATCAATAAGAATAAGTGTACATCACTTCCGCAATAATATATCTGATATATCACGCGTTATAGTTGGACTCCTCTACAAAGTGTAATGATTACTTTTCTAAGCCCTAGCCGAGTAACCTGCCGATATTTCCTTCACAATAAGGGTTGTTAATAGAGTACTCCAGACTATAATAAAACATATAACCCATTCCAGGGGTGGGTTATATGTTTTATTATAGTCTGGAGTACTCCATTAACAATCCTCTGCACGTGCATAAGTTTTTGAGACCTATACATATATGTATATTCTCTATAAATGCATGCACGTGATAATACGTATTAAAAATTTGAACAAGAATTTACGCCCTCAAAATGCACACCTACTTTCAATTTTAGGAATGATAGGGTTGAATTATATTTTTCTTGCTCAGATTGGCTAGTTGAAATTTCCATAATTACACACCCTCTATAAATCCTCCGATCCTAGCAGCTAGAGGCGTGCACTTAGAGAGTATCTCTACATTATTGCATTAATGACACTGTAAAATGAATGTCCGAGTAGATAGGTTTTTAAGAGGGATGTTAGAGGACTTTATATAACGGGATTAAGATAAGTATTCAACTCGTATTTTATTAAGGTCAAAATTCATGGTTTTTCTAAGACTCATCACTAACATTTTTATCCTTAATTCTCTAGGGTTACAACTCATACAATTATTCCATGCCAATGCATTATACAAAGAATTGGGTATATAAGTAATCAATCGGGATGACGATGCTTGTATTATATAAGCCAGTGTTGTTGACTGGAATCTGGATCCTCACTGGACGTCCAGATATTTCCAGTGTTCCAGTGGTTCCAGTGAAGTTTTCACTGGAAGAGATTATTTCTGGAACTGATATAATATTAGCCAATAAGATTACGAATAATAATTATATTATAAACACGTGATATGCCTGATATCCGATCAGTTGCAAGAATACTTTTCATTTTACTACTGTATTACGTGCAACTCGAAAATAGAGAATTTAGAGAATTCTAATGGTAAAGCAAACACCCGTAAATTATATCCTTATTGGCACATAATCACCGCAAATTTTTTTATTTAACTACTATTAAAATTAAAGTAAGTAAAATTAAATCCTTACAATAAAATTATACAAAATATAATTTCGATATCGCATTTTATTTCATATTGAAAATTTTTGCTAGTCAATTAGTGTGAAAAAAGCCACTTGTTCTTGCTTTGAATTGATCATTTCATTTCAAATAGTATTATTATGTAAAATGGTTGAAATGAAATAATTACAGTCAGACCCCCCTAAATGCACCCTCCCTAAATGCAGCACCTCTCTAAATGCACGTCTTCTTTTGGGCCCATCTAATATTACATCTATAGATTTTTACCTCCCTAAATGCAATACCTCTCTAAATGCACATGCTAGAGTGGTCCCGACGACGTGCATTTAGAGAGGTCTGGCTGTATCTGAGAAATCATTCTGAAATCAGTTATTCATAAATCTTATTTGTTTTGATTTGCCTATTTCCACCATGGAAATTACTATTTCCACCAATGGCCGTAATTTGTCGGAACAATATTAGTCATGTATATATAGCTAAAGTCAGGTGAAAAACATGGTGGAAATAGGCGCTCCCTATTTATATAATAACTAGAGAATGTGCATGTGGGCGGCTCCGCCCGTAATTTTATTATTCATGTGATTATAATATAGTTTGGTTACATGTGATACGGTGATTGACTATTTAGGGTATAAAAGGGATTAGTTTAATAGAATAAAAAAAAAGAGATCTTTGAATTATGTTTGTGTTAGTTAAAGCGAGGAATTTTATATTAAAGGTATATAGTAGCGAGTAGTTTTATGTTTTTAAGTTTGAAATATTTTGGATCTGTTGGTTTGGGTTAGTGGAGTTTATTGCATTTGTCTGTTTAATGGTAGTGATTCAAGGGTTTCAAGTTCTAAACGTCTATATTCTCTGATCATGGATTGGTCTGTGATAAAAGCAGTGCTATTCAGCGATTGTATTTTTAAATGATTCCAGTTAGCACAGCGACTTAATGCCACATATGCTTGGCCAGGTGCGAATATTTGGTTGTCTAGGTTTAGTGATACATCGGGGAGTGTAAGTCCTTGTGTTTTGTAGACAGTTAATGCAAATGCATTTTGTATTGGGAATTGGGTTCGACTAGCAGGTATGCCATTTATATCGAAGTTGCTTGTGAATTTAGAGAATGAAGTATTTATGATTGCTCCTTCAATGCAAAAACTTACATAGACGAGGTTTAGTTGAGGATCAAGGTCTGTGATTATACCTATAGTACCATTTGCTATTTGGTGTTGATGTTGTGAATTGGTGAGAAACATAACTCGTGCACCAGGTTGGATTCTAATAGTTTCCGGTAGGTTGGTTTTGTTTTTAAATTCGCAGGAGATTGATTTGTCATTACATATTCGGTTATTAAAGATATCAATACTATTGGAAATCATGAATTTGTTTTCTTGGGTGGGGATCATGGTGCATATTAATCTGTTAATTAATTCTGCATTTTTTCTGTAGCCTACTATGTGTGTAGTATTAAGGGTGGTGTTTAGTTCAGGTGTTCTGATTGTCTCGTAGTTTTTCTGGGATAGTATTTCCCATGTTGTATTGTTGATTTCACCCATTCTTATTTTTTGTAGTAGGTTATAGAATTGGGTGTCTTGGCTTTGTCTTTGGGGTTCGCAGAGAAATAGTGGGTAGAAGATTTTCCATATTGGAGATTGGTAGATGGGAGAGCCAGTGACCGGGGTAATTGAGCTAGATCACCAACTAAAATAACATTGACGCCTCCGAATGGGTTATTGTTTTTGTGTAGTGATTCAAAAAGTTCAGAGATATATATTAGAAATTGGCCTGATACCATGGATATTTTATCGATGATGATAGTGTTTATTTGGAGAAGTGAGTTGTTTAGTTTGTGGTCATGAAATGCTAGAGTTCTGAATCCATATTGATCATGGATGATTCATAGTGCAGAGTGAATTGTTGATCCACCAATGTTTTGTACAGCTATTCCAGTTGGTGCTAATAGTAAGTAGTTTTGGTTGGCTCTTTGAAAGTCTTCTAATAGTAGCGTATCATGTAAGATTTTCTGGTGCCTGCCAAGCCTGTAATAAAAAAGAAGAGATAGTGTGAACTATCCTGTGGACCTAGATAGTTATTTATTGTTTGTTGGCAGTAGTATTAACTTGGTGGTAGGTTTATAGTCGAGTTAGTGTTTATAATACGTGGTAATATTTTTATTGAGTTTAATTGGATTTCTATTATGTTTAGGATATCTGTTGTTAGGATTGAGTTAAGTGATATAGTTATTGTTTCGATTAGGGTGTTGAATTGATCTAAGGCATGTAATGTTTGTCTTAGTGTAAATTTTTGATTTTGTTTGTAGATAGATTGGTATATTGTTGGAAAACAAGCCAGGAAATGGTCTCTGTAATTTTGGTGACCATCTAACATTTCATTTTCAGATCTGCATGGAAATTTTAATAGAAGCTGTTGATAAAAAAATAATTCACCATGTTCTATTCGTAAGGATCGCATGTGTATGAGTATTTGGTTATTACGTTTTACAACAAAATTTCCGAGACTGTTTTGATATATTGTTCTATTAAATGTGTTTGGATGAGTTGATTTTAATTCGTAAGTTTCAAAGTAGGTTTTATATGTTATGTTGTTAAATATAGGGTTGGGTGGTCGTGCGAAGTATTTTTCGATTTTATCGTTCCAATAGGGGTCATCTTCAAATGAGTCAAGCATATATAATGAAATAATTGCTTTTGTATGAGTGGATAGGGAATCTGTAGTTAGGTATTGAACCTGTATTGATGAGTTTACTATATGTTCACCAAGTAGTAAAAACATTATTTCCATTGAGCCCATTCATCGTGTGTGAATGTATTCACGATAGTGTATTTGCTCACACATGTTAAATAAATATGTAGGTTCCGATTTGCTTATATATTTTGTTATGTATTTGGCAAGTCCTTTATTAGTTACATATTGGATATTCATATGGGCGTTCTATATCATTAATGTTGGAGTATGATACAGAACTATCCATTGATCTTCTGGTTTTAGGCATCTGTAAGTATATCTGTAGTTATTTGGGTCATAAAATGTGTATTTAGAGATAGGACGGAGAAATCCTTTTTTGCATGTCGATCCTGGTAGGGCTGGACCTTCACACTTAAAATTGCATGTATATGTTTGAAAGTCACAGATTTTTTGGTAAAGTTCTGGTTCTAGGTTAGGGTCGGAAAGAGTTGACCGAATGATATTTGAATTAATCATTTCTAATATATTTGATGTTGTCCAGTAAACACCATGTAGATGTGCTGCTCCATAGTTTTGAAATTCTATTTGGTCAAAAAAGTGAGAGTAGGTGCTCCATTTACTAATGTTTGGATCTTTCTAAACGTATTTTCTGACGTTTTGTAGTCTGTGAACGAAGTATAACATTGCATGTAATGGTCTGTTGGTTGGCAATGGGTCATTATTATCTGTGCTGGTGAGTATGTTGCGAAGGTGAGTCCACAAACCTTCGGCCATCGTTAACGTGATGAATATTGTTGGGAGGCCAAGTTCGTGAATCATCGTGTTTAGATGCATATTTTTCTTTTGAAAATAACCATTACCTGAACGAATAAATGTGGATATGGGTGATGTTTTCGTTTCGTTGTAGCACCAACCATCGGTATAGGTACTGTGTTCAATAATTTCAATAGTTGTAGGTGGGCAGTGAGTTTCATCAGTTGTAGATTGTCTAATAAGTCTTTGATTATTTTAAAAATTTCTTAATTTTTCCAGTTGTAGATAAGCCCATACAGACAGTAGTAATGTAGTCAAAATCAAAGGTCTTCAGAAAGTAAACGATGTTTTATATATTTTCCAAGGGTATCGTGGCATTGTTGTAAATTTTCTAATTGGTTTCGCATATTATGATAGTAGCCATGACCATTAGGATATAGGTCTGGGAAGAGTAGTGGTTCGAGGTGTGGATCATTTAAGGTAATCAGAATCCTGTTTGTATCATTATTAGCCACAAATCCAGAGATCAAGTGATGGTAGTTTGCATCTTTTTTGTGGATTTTAGCAGGAAAGTTTTGGTGTAGGACTACTATATCACCATGTCAAAATAGAGGTGTGTTTTCATTAATAGATGAATAAACAGCTACAGAGAACTGGAGGTTTGTATTTGATGTTGGTGGAATTATTAGCGAATATTGGTGTATGTAAGGATTATTTTCCTTGAGCCAATTAGTAGCATTTATTAATGAATTTTCAAACCAGAGAGGTAGTATAGATTAAGCAGAAGTTGGAGAGGTAAGGTAAGCACCTAGTAAACCTGAATATAAATTCAAGAAATTGAAGTTTTGTGAGTAATTCATAGTACCCACTAGCGTTCTGTATTTAGAGAAGGGATTGGCTCCAGGTGTTTTACCTAGAGAACAATGGAGAAAGATAAGAGATAAGTGTTTGCATAGTTTTAATAGTACTAATCCAATTTTGGTTGGAGTTGGGTGTAGATATGGTGGATAATTGCATGTTGGGTTTGACTTGCATGAGCGACATATTGCGATATGGTTTGCGGATAGTATTGAATTCGTGACTAATGATCTATAATTTTCAAGTGGATACAGAGTATTAAAATTTCGATGAATCCATATTGATTTTTCTAAATACATTAGTCTGGAGCAAATTGAACAGGGAACATATGGAAATTGAAATAGAATACTGATAGAATAGTATCTTTGAATTTTTCTATTAGTTTTTGCATTTTTTCTAAGATTATCTATGAAGATATTTCTGGACGAGGTGGATTGTTTAATTGGTAGTCAGAGTGTTGTGAGTTATTATTATTAGAAGTTAGATCAATTATTTCTTCATTGTATTCTAGAGGTTCAATTTCAAGAATTCTATGTACGTAGAATGACATATTTAAACTAAAAATATTTGTTTTATTAAAGGTATTCATTTTTTTAAAGATTTTTGCTTTATTAAGTGATTTGATTGTAGAGTTATTTTAAATTATAGTCGTAAATTTGGGTGGTATTTATAATTTAGAATGTATTAACGCAATTCGATGTTTTAAGTAAAAATCGTATTAACGTTAACAATTTAATTAAGTAGATATATTACTTATTAATTGTATTTTTGACCGCATTAGGAAGTTAAATATTTTGTATATATATATCATTTTTTGCATTGTTGAGTATATATGGCAAGGATATGCAAACATTTATTTGAGTATTTTAAAACAAATTTTGAGATGTGATTTAATAGATCGCGAATCTTTATTATATAAGAGAGGCTTAGCTTTTTTTTTTTTTAAAGTGGTCAATAAATATTTGTATAATTGTTGGTTATGAAATTTTTAAGGGTAATTTAAGCTGTTCTCAAATATCTAAATTAATTGATTTGATAATAATCGTTATGACGCTCAAGTTTCATAATCGATGACGATATTTATAGAATGAAATGTTTGAGTATAGTTTTTCAGTTTTTTTTTTTAATGTTTGTTATATTATTTAAAAGTCTAATGAAAAAAAATTTTTTTTGATCAACCGTTAAAATTTCAACTTTAGTTATATTGGCTCTTTCTTTTAATGGTTCAATTTTTTTACTATCTGTCATATACGGAAAAAATCTTTCAGTTTCAGGTCTTCTTTACTAAGATATTCAATTTAGATGAGTGAAAATGGAATAATAGTATTTATTATTGTTTGGTTAAATATTGAAAATTTATTATATTTATTATACTTATGTTAATGTATTGATTATTTGTTTTAAAAGCCTCGAACATTAAAAGAAAAGTGGCTATTTTTTAGAATGGTTAGAGATTTGTTGAGAATTAATTTTTTATTATATTTGATATATAAAAATATAAAAGTAATGTTTGAGTAGTCTTTATCAATAATTTTTGAAGAAAAAAGATGTGTCTTACTGATTAGTTTATCAGAATGGTAACTTACTTGGTTAATTTATTCAATTTTTGACTAATTAAAAATTTTCTTCTGATTCTTCAAGCAAGGTGTTAAAAACACTTTTGATTATCTATTTAGGCTATTAGGCATCCAAATTAATTGATGTGAAGATTCTTAAGCATTATAATTGATGATGATATTTATAGAATTTGAGAATTAAATGCTTTTTTTTGTTCTTGTAAATATTGGTATATTATCTAAAAATTTAATGTAAAAATTTTTTTTTATTAATTGTTAAAGGTTTAATTGGCTCTTTCTTTAACAATTTTAACAACTTAAATTTCTTTAGTATCCATTAAATATGGAAAATCATTTATCTAAACTTTTGAGGTTTAGATTTTTTTATTGAAAAGATTTTATTAAAAATAAGGTGGTTTTCTTATAAAATTACAGGATAATCAGATATTTTATTATGTTTTATTAGAGTATTTGGGTCAGAAGTTGGTGGCACGAGTTTGCTTTAGAAGATAAGTATGATAATTTTAGTTATTTTTATATTCATTTAATAATTCGTGTTAGATATATAAAATTTTATTTGTTATTTATATGAAGGTAAATATATACAATGGATAAAAATATAAAGACATATCAGATAAATATATAATATGTTGAAATTTTTTAAAGTAAATAAACACTTATATGAATATTTATAATATTTAAATGTGTCAAATACTAATTATTAAGGAAAAAAAAATAAAAATAAGACAACAATTTTAAGTTAAGTATACATTGAAATATATATAAATGACATTATACTTATTTATTCAGCAATAGTTTGATTAGGTGGATCAGGTGTGCTCGAATTCAAAGGTTTGTTTAAGAGGTTACTTGCTAAATCAGTAACTTTTGGGCAAGAATTGGTTTTAACGTATGGTTTAGAGTTAGGTGTAGTTTTTTTATGTCAGGTGCTTCTTTTAACTCTGGTAGCTATGGTTTGAGCAATGGTAGAAGCATTTTGTTGATTTGTATTATTTTGTTTCTTTGATTCCTATAAAAATTGCATTGGGCTGCTTTTTGTAATTGTATTTAATTTTTGGTATTCCAGAAATGAAACATTACATATATGGACTATGTTATCATTATCAGTTATCATGAGTTTCCCATTAATATAGATTACAGAATCTTTCTTTATAATGGCTGTTGTATTTGTCAAATATTGCACAGAAGTGGGGTGATAGTACGTTAATTTAAGATTATTATAACCTTGGTCTATGTAATTTTTAGTCAAAACATTGATGACTACATCTTCATTGTTGATTTCCAGGTCTTCTTGAACTAACGCCGTCATGTTAATTAATATTGGGAATGCAAGTAGATTGTTAGAGTCAAGAGTATCAAAACGAACAATATCGTTTAAGGTAATCTTTTTTGTTAAAAGAAAAAAAAAAAAAATTTAATCTAAACTGTTGTTAATTAAAATCAGATAGATTATATTTAACAGTAATTTATTTATTCATTGATTAAATTTTTTATTTTTATAATAATAGTAAGTTATACTTTTAAAATAGAATATTTTTCATCAGTTTGGCCAGTGCCTTCAACGATATGGAAATTTTCAGTAGCAAGCACCACATCCTTGTCTTCAAATTCAGGTAAGTTTAATTCTTGAATAGTATCATAGTGATAAAATCTAGTCAGAATTATGTTTAAAGAAGAGTTTAGGCTTCGGGATCTTACAATATTCGAAGCTTTAACAATCAAAAGATTTTTATTAGAGATTAATTTTTTTTGATAACTCATTATATAACACAATACAGTAATGGAAGCTGGCATTTTTTTTATTTATTTTTAGCTGTTAATCGTCGTTGTTGTTGAGAAAATTAAAGAAAAAATGAATGAGGAAAAAAATAGGACTATTTATTAATAAATTATTTATCTTTTATTTTATTTTTTAGAAAAAACATTAATTAATTCATATAATTTATGGTTTAAATATCGGTACAAGAAGTTTTTTTTCTTTTTAAAAAACATGTTTGGTTTGTTTAAAAAATCTGAGATAATGAGCATATAATAAGCATACGCATTATTTAAGTACACCCATATGCATTATTTCAAGCCTAATTTTTTTTTATATTATAAATAAATTTAGCTGATGTATTAATTGCTGTCAATAGAAATTAAGGGGATCGAGTTATAAAAAAAAAATCAATATCTTAGCTTTTACAGCTTATATCTCAGTGAATTTTTAACAAGATATAAGCTGTAAAAAGTTAAGATATTGATTTTTTTTTTAGAACGTTAATTCTCTTGATTTCTATTGAAAGCAGTCTATATTATATGGTGTGAAGGTGCTTTTATCAAAGAAATTATTATTATTGTTATTATTTTTAGGATGTTAATTCTCTTGATTTCTATTGACAGCAGTCCATATTATAAAGCGTGAAGATGCTTTTATCAAAGAAATTATTATTATTATTATTATTTTTAGGATGTTAATTCCCTTGATTTCTATTGATGGCAGTCCATATTATACAGTATGAAGATGCTTTTATCAAAGAAATTATTTTTTTTTTAGGACATTAATTCTTTTGATTTCTATTGATGGCAGTCCATATTATACGGCGTAAAGATGCTTTTATCAAAGAAATTATTATTATTATTTTTTTTTTCAAAACAATAAAGATTTTTTTTTTTTAAAAGGATATAATTTTCAAAATATATAAATAATAAAATAATCACAAGGCTAATCGTTTATCTAATTTATTTAGATATTTGTTGGATTATCTTCGCGAGCTATTAAGTATTTAGAGTATTCAATATATATCCAATACAAAAAAAAATGCAAATCCGGTATAATCATCATATAGGATTGACATTGACATAGCAGGTTTTACTAGTTTTCAACTCAGGAAGTCAGGTTTTTTTTATTTTTTTATTTTATTTTATTTTTTTTAATAATAATGATAATGACAAAATTAAAACTTAACAAAAAAAGTCAACAAAATCTTTGTTGTGAACAACAACGCCAGGGTGTAGGATCGATTTTACTGTCATATAACTTCCAGTGCTAGTGATCTACATTGTGCATACATTTTCTAACCATATTGAAACTGCTTTAAAGTTTAATTTTTTAATTATTTAGACTATAAAAGTATTAGATAGTGATATTAAATCGGTTGCATTTTCTATATAAACTAAACTGTTCTGATAAATTTGATTTTAGGCTAGTTAAACAGTTTAACACTGATATAAAAATATTTTACATTCGCATGGCAATATTTTATGTTTTGCATGATCATTTCATTTAATTTATTGATTTTAAACGACAATAATTTAGACTTTTACGATTTTAATTACTTGATTAAATACAAAAGTGGTATTTATAAGCCAATGTAAGTTATGTACTTAGATTGCTGATTGAAACGACAATTACGATTATGTACTTAGATTACTGATTGAAATGACAATTAAGATTATACATATAAAATCGAAAACATTTAATTTATATATACAATTTAAGGTAATCAAAAAATAAATAGTAGTGAATTTAGACTATATTTATAAACAATATGTATATTTAATAATTGGGCACAAACATAAATTTTAAATAAAGAACCTTTGCTTGAATTGTAAGATAAATCAATAATTTCTAAACTGATTCGATTCATAAACAAATACTTAAATCTATTAAAGTCAGAATATGGGTGATAACAGAAATAGACTCTTATTTTAAGTACATTTGATATATCAAATAATATATATGTGATTTTGACTATTCTGAATCAATCAAACTCCAAATTTTATGCGCATTTGATATATTGAATAATATATATATTTTTCATATGCATTTTGATATTCTGAACCAATCAAACCTTGAGTAGTTATTTTTAATCATTTTTAATTATGTTCAAATGAATTAAATAACACCATTTCATTTTATTCACATTCTGTTTAATTAGACGAATTGTAATAAAATTCTTATAGTAATTCTTCGATTTCTCTTTAAGTTTTTTTTAGAAGTCTTTATTCAGGTCAAACTTTCAGCATTACTGAGCAAGTGAAACATGATTATTTTGAAATCAAAAATATGACCTCTAAAGAGGCGCTAGCGACGCCCTTTATCTTCAAATAATTGTTAAACTAGTCCCCAAATTAAAAGTGAATAAACGTATTTATAAGTCGCCATCTTCCCCATTAGCTATTTAGAGTTTTCATAATTAATATTTTGTCAAAAAAAATAAACTAAAAATTTTGAACTAAATTACTTATTTAATTATTGAAATATTCAACTTGCTCTCAAGAAATTCTATCAATTAGATCAAAACTACATAATTTTCTATAATAAATTGCACTTAGAATAATGCCTACTTGTAGCACTTGTGCAGGCGATCTCTCCTCTGATGCATTCTTATTTAAGGGTAAATATTATGATACTTGTAACTGCTGTAGGATTTCAAAAGCTGAAAAGAGAAATGCCAAAAAAGTAAATCACTTGATGATTTTGATCTTGAACAAGCGTTTATCGAAATAATTTCTATTCAAGAAATTAGTAATTATATCACCAATGCAATCGATGACCTTGATGATCATGCTGAACTTTCTCTTACCTTCTGTGTTTAACTCGATGAGGCAACTATTAAAGATATTGATGCAGATATTAGAATTATGGCCAAATTAATTATTGACGAAATAGAAGAAGGTGATAACTATAACTGGATGTAGGTTAATTTTAATTATACATATAAATTTTTGCTTAAACACGTATATACTAAAAATCAATAAATTATACCTTATAGAGCTACAACCACACCAAACCTCTCAGCTCGTTATTCTGGTGTTGGAAACACTTATTTCGCATGCTCACAAAGTTTTAAACTCGAGCGTAAATTCAAAGATTCAAGTCATGAAAGAACCTTCCATTATAACTGCGATGGTAAAATATCAATTAAGATTAATATCCCAGCAACAGAGGCAAAAATAATCTTAAAACACAAATTTATTCATGAAAGACTTGTTAATTTTACAATGCCATTTGAAATAAAGCAGAAAATTAGTAAAAATTTAAACTTAAATCCTGTAGAATTGAGAAAATATCTTTATAAAAAGTTTGACTTATCTAATATTACATCGAAGCAGATTCATTATTGGTGGTCATATCATACACAACAGTTCTACAGAAGTGACGAAAATCATATTGTTTCAGCATATAAGTTTTTTAACTGGCAACAAAAAAATGAATGTGAATTATGCTATTAGCTTGAAACCGATAATACAACAGCCATTGGCTTTACAACTAAACTGCTTAACCAGTCAAATTATTCAGAAATACATTGTGATGCCACCTATAAGACTTCCAAGGGAAAATTTGAACTTTATGGCATCGTTGGTAATGTCGAAGGTGCTGGTTTTCCCTTGGCATATTTAATTTTAGATACATTAAAAGCCCCAAAAAATGAAAATCAGGAAGAGTTATGAACCGATGCACTGGCAGGCTCTTCGTGATAAAGGCCTGAACCCAACCTATTTTTATACAAATAAAAACTTCACTGAGATAAACGCCACAAAAAATGTGTGGCCTACAGGTGATATATAGCTTTGTCAATGGCACATTGACAAAGCTCTTAAAGAAAAATTAAAAAGTCGTAAAAAAATTGTGTAGTTAAACTATAATTATGAGGAAATTGTAAAAGAAGAATTTACTTTTGTAAATTCTTCTTTTATACCTGATTTGCAGCGTATAGATAGTGAATACTATATAGTTTGCCCCTCTGCCCTTCGTGGAACTGTTGTTGAAATAGTTAAAAACCATTTCAATATGCATTCTAAAATATCTACTAATAATAGTCAATTTCTTTCTCCTAAAAAAATAAGAACAAAAGTGGTTTTTGAAATATATGAATTTTGTGTTGCAAATAATCTAGTATTGTTATGAACCTACCTATAGTCTTCATGGTATAAATCAACACGGTGGTGTTTGTAGGCACATTTTTCAAGAGCGACCATACCACTTGGCAAAACTAATATGATGATCAAGACGCATTGGAGGGTTCTAAAACATTGTTACCTCTACCAATTTAACCACCCATGACTTGACTATCTAATTGCACACACATTGTACCTGATCAAGCTAATCGTCTTCAACAATTATTAACTGGCAGAATAATGTCATCATGGTTCGAAGAATTTAAGAAAGAATGGAGAAATCTTCTTACCAAGCCAGTTAATACTACAGAAAGTCAATATTTTATTGATTTGGAATATTGGATTTGTACCTGTCCATCATTCCTTCGAAGCCACTTCTTTATATGCAAGTATCTAATTCACAAAGCATCAAAAAAATCAGGACCTCAAGGTATTTGACTAATTTATTCAAATTTTAAATGACAAACCGACTATCCTTTTTTAATTTGGACCGGAAAAGAATCACAAAATCTGAAAGTGTAGAAGCTTTTAGAATGCATAATGAAGTTAATATGTTCAATCAAAACCTTACAAATGAAGATGAAGAAGATATTACTAAAAGACATCAAAAGATAGAATCAAAGATAGCGGTGTTGTAGCATTTGGTTGACCATATTAATGAGGAATTGAACGCAAATAATTTTCAGCATGTAGAAGCCATTATTAACAATCTAGACCATGCTTTTACAATTATCTCAGATATTGAAAAGGTAAAGAACCAAAGAGTGCGACGTATGGCTTGGCGTAATTTGAAACCTTGGACCTTATTTCTAAATTAATAATATTAACTTTTAGTACTGTTATTAGTGTTAAACAAAGTCTATTACTATAATAATGGTAAAGTTTTGTTAAATAGTAAAATATAGTGCTTG